CCACCCTCGTTGTGCTTCTTTGGGCATCACCTCCCATTAAAGGGCCAAGAGCTGCCCCGGGGCTGACAAAAACCTCATTCCCGACCTCATTTTGGGGTCATTTTACCAAAACCTGCAGCTTTCAGCCCAGTGGATGAGGCAGGGAAAGTGCCCGATGTCCCCCGAGCTCTGCCCTTCCCTACAGCCAGATTTGTTTTTAACCTGCTCCTTGTTTGCTCCTTTAATAGAACAGCAATTTTTATTTTTTTCCCCTCTTTAAATCCTTCTAAATGATGAGGTGGGACGGGGAGAGCCCCGAGGCAGCGACTCTGATCCCAAAACCCTGTCCCAGGTGCTCATTAATGGTTTGCACATCCCTGTGTCATTATCCCCAGCGTGGAATTGGCTTCAGACACCCATGGATTGAGCAATAAAAGCCCTCAAAGATAAACAGATCAGAGCTCAGCTGTCATTCCAGTAATCAGCTCCTAATCAGGTCAGGATTCTTGGCCTCGTAAGGCTCTTAAAAATTTTATTATTTCCTACACTGCGTGCATTTTAAAGGCCAGTAATGGAATAAATTAAATCCCAGAAGTGGAATAAATAAAAGCCCAATAATGGAATAAATTAAATCCCAAGAATGGAATAAATTAAATCCCAGTAATGGAATAAATTCAATGGAATAAATTCCATTATAATTAATGGAATAACCTGGATCCAGGGAGAGGCAAATAAACTCCATTCCTGGGTTTCACAAACCCATTCCCTGGGTTTGTGTTGTGATTTCCTGTCAGCCTCCAGGAAATCATGGAATGCTTTGGGATGGGGCCTTAAAACTCATTTAATTCCCCTCTGCCATGGATAGGGACATTCCCACCATCCCTGGGTGCTCCAGCCTGGCCTTGGACACTTCCAAGGATGGAGCATCCATGGGATAACCCCTGCCAGGGCCTCCCCACCCTCCTAGGGAGGAATTCCTTCCCAAAATCCCACCTAAATTTCCTTTCTGTTGGTCTGAACCTTCCCAAAATCCCACCTAAATTTCCTTTCTGTCGGTCTGAACCTTCCCAAAATCCCACCTAAATTTCCTTTCTGTTGGTCTGAACCTTCCCAAAATCCCACCTAAACCCCCTCCCTGTCAGTCTGAACCCTTTCCCCCTCGTCCTGGCACCCCATCCCTTGGGAATTGTCTCTCCCCCAGTTCCTCGTTGTCCCTTCAGGTCCTGCAAGGCCACAACTGGGTCACCCCAAAGCTTCTCCAGGCTGAACATTCCCAGTTCTCCCAGCAGAGCTGCTCCATCCCTCGGATCCCATCCTGGAGCCTCCTCTGGGCTCTCTGCAGCAGCTCCAGGTCCTCCCTGGGCCGGGATCCAGGGCATCTCTGCAGGTGAGGTCTCACCTGAGCAGGGCCCTGCTGGACCCCTTTCCCCATCCCCACCTCGTTTTGTTCCCAGTGCTGCTGCATGAAATTGTCACAAGAATCCCAAGCAGCCTTGGATCCGCTCCAGAGGCTCCGTGGGAGGTTATTATGACACACAAGACGACTTTTTAATGAAAAAATTAATAACCCTGGGTTCTGACGCTGTCAAATGCTGTCTGCCCGGGGAGTAACCAAATTTCGCGTGACGTTGTTGCCCAAGTGACAAAACCATTCCAATTTTGCATTGTAGCTGCAATATTTCCATGGCTGATGCACTCTGTGTGTCTCAACCGTTTAATGAATATTTGGGATTGGCTTTGAAGTTCTTCCCTTTCAAGAAGTTGAAGAGCTTCAGTTCTTCTGCAGACAGACACCTCCGAGGCTTCGGGATGTGGGATGAAGCTAAATGAGAGATGGATGTTCTGATACTGCTGGGAGGGAGCTTCCAGTGAAATGTCCTTTTTTTTAAATTAAAAAAAAAAAACTTCCTAAAAAAAATCCTTATTTTTTTTCAATTAAAAAAGTACTTCATTTTGAAATATGGAAATGTGTTTTTTTTTAAAAATTAAAAATTACTTCCTAGTAATTCCACTTTGAGTGAAATGTCCTTTTTTTTTAAATGAAAAAAATACTTCCTAAAGAAATTCCCATCAGTTGTGGAGTCACGGAATGGTTTTGGGTGCAAGGGACCTTAAAGATCACCTTGTCCCAACCCCTTCCGTGGGCAGGGCCACCTCCCACTGGGTCAGGTTGCTCAATATCCCATCCAGCCTGGCCTGGAATGGATCACATGCTGGAATTGATCATTTCTTCAGCCTCAATCACCACAGGAAGCATTCCCAGTTAATTAGGTTCTTCTCTGAACTGAAATCTTCAAATAATTGTAAAAATAAAACCCCCAGTCTGGGGATTGAAGAATTTTATCCCTTCATGGTCAGTTTAATTCTTGTTTTGCTGCAGTCACGATGTGTTAAGCTCTGCTTTAATGAATAAAATGAAACATTTCTCTCCTCAAAAATGTTTTGGGGTGGAAAAATTGAAGCTGGAGACTTCCTCCTCTTGGTTAGCCAAAATTACTCACTCAAATTATCCGAGTTGAGCAGAAATGATTGTTGGCTGCACCACCTGAATGAAGCATTTGGGGTTCTGGCTTTGGGGATGGCCATAAATAAACCAAAATTAGGTGTCCCAGCAATTGCAGGGATGCCACCAACCCAGTGTTCCCAATTGCTCCCATTCCTGTCCTACAGCAGGGCTGTCAGGATGTCACCAGTGGCCATCCTGGCCTCCAAACTGTGGTGCCAGGACATAAAACCTGAGCTCATTCCAGCCCTAATTAGGCCAGCGAAGCAACTTGCCCAGTAGTCCACAGCCAACACCAGCTGCTGAATGTTTTATTTCCACTGAGAAAGAGAGTTCAGCTCCCTGTTGGAAAAAAGGAAAGAAAACCACTCCTGGAGACATTGCAGAAGTTGCTCTGAGGGTCAAGGGGGAATTATTCCCAAAAAGGGCTTCAAGTGTGAAGTTGGCTTGGAAAAAAAACGCATTTTAAAAAATTCATGTTTTGGTTATTAAAACCAAAACCATTATATGCACTTGGAGATTCTTCAACATAAGTTGAAGGTAGTGACACAATAAACTATAAACCATGAGGTGGTTTCTGGAATAAAATGCTGAATGTTGACTGAAAAACTAAAAATAATTTGGTGCCACGCCGAGTTTGTGACCTAATTAGGCTCTCACCTAAACCAGGGCTCCATTCTCGACGAGAGATTCAAACCAGACATGTGGCACAATCTGAAAACACAGGGAAAAATAGCTGCAATTACATTTATGCAAAACATGCAAATGCTGTGTGAATCTGGAGCTATCTGGGATGAGTCTGGCATGGTTTTAATTTGGAAATGGCCACGAGACAGACGAAGCAGTGACTAAACTGCCAGACAGAGGAGGAAAAACACGTTGCTTTCCAAGGAGATCGCCACAAAGGCCTGAATCAACAATGCTGGCCAGGAGAGGCCTTTGATCTCTAATTAAGTCACATAAAACGAGGTTCCAGCTTGGAATGGGGATGCCAGCAGCAAGGAAATGGGGAAGGAGTGTTGCAGCCCCAAATCAAAGGTTGATGCTGGAGGAAGGAGTGTTTTCCATGCAGGATGAGCTTGGGAAACACATCCCATGAGCAAAGGCTGGCCCTGGGGCTGTTCAAGACGGTATAAAACCCACTCCGAGCACAGGATCCCTCATCCACCTCTCCTGCCTTCTCCTCCTCGGTGACACAGGTGAGTGTGATGGCCTGGGTGGGTTGGGTGGTTGAAGACCAGGGATGGACCTTTCTCACACCTGGACAAGGTCAAGGCCAAGGCCACAGTCACTGGAAGTGCCATGGGGCAGTGGAGGGTGTGTGGCCTTGTGTGGGTGTGCACAGGGTGACCAGGAGTGCCCCAGGGGACATGTGAGCCACGTTGAGGTTAGAGACGTGCTGAGGGTGGGTGTGTAACGTGGGCAAGGGACAGGGATGGACACACAGGGACTATGATTCCTCCTCTGAGGGAGGGCTGCAGTGAGAGTGACATGGCCTGGGCCTGTACCCAGTCCTAAAAGGGAGCAGTGGAACCATCTTATCCCCCACTCAAATTGTCCTGTGGTTGGGAGCAGTAATTGCTCTGGACTCATTCTGTGTGTCACCGTGTCCTGAAGGAGCAGGAGTGTGGAGCAGACCTGCAGAACTCTGCTGTGCAGACTGGCCACTTGATCTTGGAGCCTTTTTCCAGCCTTGAGGACTCTGGGATTCCTCCAGAAGAGTGACCCATCCTCAGTCTATTTCCACTGTTCGAACACCTGGCACAGGACCCACATTTCTCTTTACACACCTGCGCTGGGTGCCACATGTCACCTTAGAACCTTAGGTTGTCCTTGTGCCCCCAGGTTTGGATGCTGGGCTTGGATGCAGACAAGTAAAACAAGCACTTGTAGCTGGAAATGCACAATAAAGTCTTTGGGCAGGTGCCTGTAAATATGGACAGAAATGTCTTCTGGAAGGTCAATGTTTTGACTCATCAAGTGGGACCCAATGTCCAACCTTCCCCCTGGATCAAATGTCCTCTGGAGCACCGCCTGGTCAGCCTGTGGTCACAAAGCCATACTCCCTCCAATCCCACCCAAACCTCCCAGGGCATCAGAACCCCCAAGGAGCAGCTTTAGCTGGGGATCCCATGAGGGCAGGAATTCCAGGAGACTCCAGTTCCAATGCAAAGTGAACTTTATTGAGTGTGAAGACAGAAAAAAAGCAGGGATGGGCAGGCAGCCCTGGCCAGCAGTGGGACACAGGACTGCCTGGGCCAGGCACGGGGCCAGCGGGAGCAGCAGGAGCCCGCTGCTGGGCTGGGCTGGGGCTGAGCCCCTGGGCCAGCAGAGCAGGGCACGGCAGGGCCCGGGGAGGCACAGAAGAAAGCAGGACAAGCAGAAGCCACAGCTGGCCATGTTTGTCTCCCTCCTTGTCAGGAAGGCTGGAGGGGCCCCGAGGCCTCTGGAAACGCTGGCCAGCAGCTCCAGGGGACACTTGGCCTGGGGAGGCACTCGCTGGACGTGCGGCCCGGCTCTAGCAGGGCAGGCACCTGCGGCCGCAGTAGCGGCCACCAAGGCCAGAGAGCCCCGAGAGCCCAAAGCCCCCCGAGTTGATGGGGACCCCAGACTCGCTCAGGATGCTGCCCACGGCGGCGGAGGTGGAGGATCCCACGGCGGTGTTCTGCGGGAAGGAGCTGAGGATGGGCCCGGGCAGGGTGACCACCACGGGCGAGGGCTGGATGACCACACGGGAGTCCTGGCACTGCCGGACACAGGGCTCGTTGCAGCTGTTGGCCAGCGGGGTGGGGCCGCAGGGCCGGCACAGGTCGTAGCAGGACATGGCTGGGGCTGGAGGAGCACCTGCAGAGAGGGCAGGGAAAGCACACAGGGGCTGTGAGGCACACAGGGAGATGCTGCTCACAGGAGAAAGAGCAGAGCCTGGGCAGAAGGGACAGCCTGGAGAGGGAGCAAGGGAGGAATTCAACAGCCCTGAGCCCAAACAGTTCCCTGAAAAGACATCTCCCACCTCTCCCCAGGAAAAAACAAACACAAAAACCTGGTGAGAGCAGAATCAAGGAGAAAGACTCCCAGAGAGCACTAGGGAGAGGCAAAGATTCCATTGAGGGCCAAGGCAAAAGAGAAGAGAAGGAGAGGGAGGCAAAGGCCCTTGCAGCTCACCTGTGTCACCGAGGAGGAGAAGGCAGGAGAGGTGGATGAGGGCTCCTCACTTGCTCTGCCTTTTATACTGTCCCACACAGCCCCGGGCCCGACGCGCCTCTGCACAGGGAACGTGTTTACCAACAAGCTCATATTTTATGCAAAGCATCCCCAATTAAGTAAACTGGAGGTTGTTTACGCTCCCTGCAAGGCTGCCTTTTCATTTCCCTGTGCAGGACGTGCCCATTCAGCCAAACTGGCTCCTTTCAAGTGCCAGCATTAGAGGCCAAAATGTTTTTAGGGTATTTTTCAGCCAGAACCAGGCTGATGTTTCAGCCAGCTGGGTGGAGTGGTGCTGTATTTCCAGGTGATGTCAGCACCTTCCCCTCCTCAGGCAGCTCTGAGCCTTTGGAGTGATAAATGCAGTTTTTTTATTATAAACCCAGGATTAAAGGGCTGGCTTTGGTGAGGACTGGCCATAGACTTTGCTCCCTGTGACTCCAAGGCCTTTCAAGCCTTCTTAAACATCATTTATTCATCATAGAGACTACAGGGTTTGGTTTTGAACTTTCTTTGGGATCTCATATTGCCTTTAGAAGAAATTATCTTGTTTCTTCTGCCTTTCACCTCCTTCAGCATCGCCTGGAGTTCTCCAATCAGCAGAACAGGACAGTTCCAGAAGGAAGGACGCTGCTTTCCCAACAACAAATATTAGTCAGGGTCATTATCTTGCAGAAAACACTCCCTAATGAGAACATCTGACTTCAGAACTCTTATTTTCCCCATTCCTCATGGCCATCCCTCCACTCCTTTTTTCCCCCCCTGCCTCTGACCAGGCCCTACACCCTGTCCCAAAAACTCGGGAATATTTCCAAGCAGGACACAGGGAGCAGCTGAGGGCTGGCAGTGCCCTCAAACCCAGCCTGGGGAGCAGCAGGGGCCAGGATGTCCCCAGAGATGGGGAAGGGAAGGATTCCACGCTCTGAGCTGCATTTCCTGGGGCAAGGGCAGAGCTGGTGTCCCCAGGAGCAGTGACAGCCCTGCCTGGCCACCACTGTGACACCTCTCGTGGCAAAGGGGGCAAAACTCCCGTCCCAGCTAGGCTGGGGCTCCATCAGAGACAGAAAAATCTTAAATCCCAGAGGTCCAAGCCAGATTCCCCATGCAGGAGGATGAAGGGAGCCCTCAGGTTGACAGGAGAAGTTTCTCAAAAAAAACCACATTCAGGAGAAACCCCCAGGTCTGGCAGGACAGATCTAACAGAGAGATTTCCTTCAAAACACATGCACCACGTTTCCATCCAAGGCATTTCCACTCAAATCCCTTCAATAGGCAAAAACTGAATGCAACAAAGGCATTTCCAGCCCTCTCTGCTTCTCCCCCACCCAGCCCTCTCCACTGAGGGGCTCCATGAATCATCAGGTGTCCCCACCCACCCCATTCTCTCAGGGGTGCCCTGGGGGTGTTGTCTCCCTACCCTGGTTCCATTTTGACCCTGTTGCTCCAATGTCCCCTCCTGGCTCAGGCAGGGACAGGAGGACATTTCCACAGCAGATAAAGAGACAGAGGAACTTGGCAGGATGGCTTTATTTCAGATATTGAAGCCCCAAATTGGGCAGAGGAGCAGCCTTTGACTGTCACCAGATGGCTGCAGGGCCAGGCACACCCCATTCCCTGGGGAGAAACACTCCACAGAATGCAGGAAAAGAAAATTTGGCATCACGTTGATTTTGGCAGTTGGGCACACGTCCCTTCAACTTGTCTTGGACTCCCTTTACATCCAGGGCTTGGAAGAAGTGCTTAAGGAGGGAAGGCAAAGGTCCAGAGGCAGGTGGTAAAACACAGCCATGGCCTGGGGCAGGTGGATGAAACTGGCAGAGAAACATCGGGTCAGTGGCATGACGCATCAGCTGGAAGCTGTCCCCAACCTTTGTCCTGGCTCAGATGTCCCCTGGGGCACTCCTGGTCACCCTGTGCACACCCACACAAGGCCACACACCCTCCACTGCCCCATGGCACTTCCAGTGACTGTGGCCTTGGAGGTTCTCACCTTGCCCAGGTGTGAGAAAGGTCCATCCCTGGCCTTTAACCACCCAACCCACCCAGGCCATCACCCTCCCCCAGTGGAGCAGCTGAGCTGCACATCCCAGCAAGGCAGGAACTCCAGGAGACTCCAAATCCAATGCAGAGTGAACTTTATTGAGTGTGAAGACAGAAACTAAGCAGGAGTGGGCAAGGCCTGGGCCAGGCTGGCCCAGCAGCAGGGCCGGGCAGGCAGCCCTGGCCAGCAGTGGGACACAGGACTGCCTGGGCCAGGCACGGGGCCAGCGGGAGCAGCAGGAGCCCGCTGCTGGGCTGGGCTGGGGCTGAGCCCCTGGGCCAGCAGAGCAGGGCACGGCAGGGCCCGGGGAGGCACAGAAGAAAGCAGGACAAGCAGAAGCCTCAGCTGGCCACGTTTGCCTTTGTTCTTGGCAGGAGGGGCCCCGAGGCCTCTGGAAACGCTGGCCAGCAGCTCCAGGGGACACTTGGCCTGGGGAGGCACTCGCTGGACGTGCGGCCCGGCTCTAGCAGGGCAGGCACCTGCGGCCGCAGTAGCGGCCACCAAGGCCAGAGAGCCCCGAGAGCCCAAAGCCCCCCGAGTTGATGGGGACCCCAGACTCGCTCAGGATGCTGCCCACGGCGGCGGAGGTGGAGGATCCCACGGCGGTGTTCTGCGGGAAGGAGCTGAGGATGGGCCCGGGCAGGGTGACCACCACAGGGGACGGCTCGATGATGACCCGCGAGTCCTGGCACTGCCGGACACAGGGCTCGTTGCAGCTGTTGGCCAGCGGGGTGGGGCCGCAGGGCCGGCACAGGTCGTAGCAGGACATGGCTGGGGCTGGAGGAGCACCTGGAGAAGTCACAGGCAGAAGGTGAGGCACGGCCTCAGCAGGAGAAGGAGCAGAGGCCGAGGGAAGAGACAGGGAAGAGGGAGGAAGAAAGGATCAGGAGCCCCATCCCCACGGCTTCCTGCAAAGAGCCCCAGAGCTTCTCCCAGCTCTTCCCAGTGAGCTGAGGCTGGGAGCAGGATCTGGGAGCAAAGTTCTCAGCAGGAGCTGCACAACAGCGAGGCCAGAGATGAAGGCAAAGACAAAGAGAAGAAGGAGAAGGAGAAGAAGGAGGCAAAGGCCCTTGCAGCTCACCTGTGTCACCGAGGAGGAGAAGGCAGGAGAGGTGGATGAGGGCTCCTCACTTGCTCTGCCTTTTATACTGTCCCACACAGCCCCGGGCCCACGGGCACCCTCCGCACATGGAACGTGTTTACCAAGCTCATCCTGCATGCAAAACATCCCCATTAGAGAAATGGGGACACTGCAATGCTGCTTTTTCATTTCCCTGTGCAGGACATGCCCAGTCAGCCTCCCAGGCTCCTTTCAAGTGCCAGGATTAGAGGTCAAAATGTGTCCGGGGGCAGTGCCACGTCAGCAGTGCTGGGTGATGCAGCTGGTGTTGGGGACTGTCCTATTTCACCAGGAGACATCAGGCCCTTTGCCCTCCAGGGCCTCACTTTCAGATTCCCAGAATGGTCAGGGCATTTTTCCTGGCATGCCTAAAATAACAAGTCAGGCTTAAAAATATGTTTTCTGTGACAGGAGTCGCCTCATCTGGTGCGTAACCAAATATTCGACTCCATCAGAGCTGGGTGTAAACTTCCCTGTCACCTTGGACACTCTGAAGATTCCGGGATTTCACATCCAGATATGACCAATATCCAGATATTTCAAATCCACATGCTCTTTGCCCTTCCATGCCTTCATGGAGAGCCCCCAGCATCCTCGAGTCAACAGGAGGATGTTCGAAAAGCAGAAAGTCCTCTCCAACACACCCTAACTCTGCTCCCACCAGCTCCACCCAGCACCAAGTGTCCATGTTGGGCCTTTCTCACTGCTCCTTCTCCATCTCCAAATCTCCAAAACCCTTCTGGGAGCCTACACCCAAACTCAGTAGCAGGCGGTGGAAAGAGCCTGCAGAGCTCTCGAGGGAGACATCAAAACACATCAGAAGGACTCACGGTCTGGGAATGTCAGCAGAAAAACACTGGAGGCAAGCAGACCAAGATCACAGGCTCCTCTTCCATCATGTCAGCACACTCAGACATGCAGAGTCCACCTGGCCTGGCCTTGTCTCGTGGTCAGCACTGAGAGGCTGCCCTTAATGGTTTTTGAGACCTCCATTCCCTGCCCTCCATCCCTGGAATGGTCTCTGGTCTCTCCATCCCTGGAATGGTCTCTGACCCCTCCGTTCTTCTGCTCCAGGTCAAGAGAGGATCACTTGTGTTTGGACAACGCTCTCAGGCAGAGGGTGGGATTTTGGGGTGTCTGTGCAGGAGCTGGATTGGATGATTTCTGGGTCCCTTCCAATCTGGATATTCCATGATTCTGTAATTCCCTGAATGACAGGGAGTAGAAGACATGGGAGGATGCAGGAGCACCTTGTCCTCCTCTGCATCACCACCCACACGACAACTCAACACCCAAGCAATGTTCTCCCCCTGCCCAACGTGTCCCTGTGACCTCCTGAGCTGTGCCTGCAGCCCTGAGCCCTCCAGGAGGGACAGGAGGGCACAGGGGATGGTGTGGTGGCAGAAATAAAGGGTGACAACTTCTTGGGATTCTGTTGCATGAAGGACATTGTCATGATCGAGACGGTCACAATACAAAGCAACACTCTATTTTCAGAAGGCTTCAAAACTGGTTTTATTATAGCATGCATGCTTTTTATACATTCTTACAAGTATAAAGTTTACTCATTGGTCAGGAAAGACAAAGTGCTCATTGGAACAGGCAGTTGCAGGTTTCTCTTATTTCTCCTTCTTTCTTTCTTGGTTTCTCTGACAAGGACCTTGGTAGGAAATCCTTTCAGGTGTGAACATGGATCCTCTTCTCAAACTTCCCTCTGGCTCACAGAAGTCGCTGTAAAACCTCTCTCACAGGACATGAGCCATGGAAGGTGTCCCAGGAAACATTTATCTACTGAGTGATGGAATGCATGAACCAGGGAGGTTATTATGGGGTG